GCAGCCCGACATCGACTCCTTTTTTTCCATGAATCAGAAACTGTTCTGATAACCAGGTGGCAGTATCTCCAAACTCCTCCTACCCTCAGGGTATTTGATGCAGGCTCATTCCTCTTGTTTGTTCTTAATGGTGATTTCTTCTCTTTCTTTTCATAGATTTAACCTCCGGAACAGTACCTCTGCAGATATATTCAGGGGACTTGATGGTGGGAAAAACAAGTGTCATCTATCACACCGATATGGAGGAAATCAGCAGTCTGTTGGCTAATGCAGCCAATCCAGTACAATTCATGTGCCAGGTAACGACTCTAGCAAACAACTGCTTTGGAAACAGTCTCTTTCAGAGGCTAGACAAGTGGACATTAATAACAAATGTTTGCCATGAAGTAGCTCTTCTGAAAATAAGAAACGCAAGATTATTTAGGGATTTTCACATAACCTTAACATCCTTTTTTAGTGAAAGCGTGGGTGCTTTTTCTGTCTCTGGAGCAAATAGCTGGCTAAGGTGACTCGGGCTATCCAACTAAAGAAAAAATACAGTCAATCTACACTCACATTTAGACCTCAATGACTTGAACAGATTGGGATGACAGTGGTTGATATAACAAAGTAATATAAAGAAACAAATTTTTTTGAAATTTGTACCTAAGGATTCTTGGAAAAGATGTGAAAAGGAAGCAAAGATTCACACTAGCTGTGAAGAGCAACATAGAATAAATTATTTGTTCTTAGAATTTATTTCTTTAAAGCCACTCCTCAGTTCTCATGTAATATTTTGCACGGTTAGGGTACCTGAACCCTATTAGAGGGGTAAAGCTTGCCCCAAGCAAGTTCTCCAGATGTGCCGTCTTTGCTGCCTGCCTGCATTTCCCTGATTAGCCATGTAGCAGAAGTCTACAGAGCGGTGGTGTTAGTTACCAGCATACCTTGGGCTGGGGAGACTGTCTTTCTCTCTTTTTAATTCAAGTTTTGGAGCAGTTTGTACTAGGCTATGCCTCTACCTGGGGAGTAGGCATGCTTCCCAGTCTTTGGCTAAGAACCAGTCCAAAAGCCAAACACAGAGAATACACCAGAGCAATTCAAGATGGACTAGTTCATACTTAGAGCAGGAGTGATGCTTAATTGGAACAGTTTCGGAAGTAAGACTATACCTGTCAGGGAAGTAGGAAGTAACGTGGTTTTTTTTGTGTATCTAAGTGCATGAGTGACTTTCTTACTGTATTCTGTCTTGCTCTGAAGTGTACGATTCTCATCTGTTCGGATTAATGATACTTTGTTTCTGGACTAGGAAGCTAATTATGTTCTTTGCTTGACCTGAACATTGCTGCCTTCTGTGTTTATCACAGAATCTTAGGAGTTGGAAGGGA